CCTTACCCTAGTTCTGATTCAAAAAGGGGCACGAACGGCTGAGTCAGATAAGCGATGGTCTGCCAATCGAGTTTGGTGAGATTTTCTGCGACCATTGCATCAAAACTAACGCATGATCAGACTCAACGCAGGTGGTCCAATAAGACCTGCAGTTTTGTACTGAACCACGCCAACGGTAGCTTACTGCTATGTGGTCGATCTGATTTAGCGTGTCAGCCGAATTCGAGCGCCACGTTGCTGCCCGTTGAGAGTTGTGTCGGAATTCGATGCTGGATAGGAACAAATGATGGTCTTTTTTACTACACATTCGTGTGATGAACAGCAGATGGGTTAAACCCCATGATTACGAGGACCTGCTGTTCAGTGATGGAAACTGGTGACTTGCGCAGATGCATCCTGATTAGGCGACCACCAAATGTTTGAACCAGCATCTTGAAGTAGGCCGGCCGTTTTCATTCGATCGAAGTTCCTGATGGATTTGGAGGCGGCTTTTTGTCATGCACGTTCTAAACGTGACTACACTATGATCACTCCTGCCCAGAGGGACTTCCATAGTCAGTTCAATAACGTTCTCCGCTCGGGTAAGCATTAGACCTAAAATGAACGATCTCTGCTCATATCTTAATTGCGTTGCTTGTCGAACATATTGATAAGGTGCCTGCTCGTGGAAAAATCTTAGAAACTCCTCTTCAGAGGGACTATCTCCCGTGTCAGCGTATTCTCAATCGAATTCGGGCGGTTTCAAATCACCAACTATGATCGTCTTCGTCGTTTTCCTGGGCAACGTGCTTAGTGTGCTTAGCGGCTGTTTATCCTCTTATGATCTAGTCGAGTGCTCTGTAGACTCCAAGGGTGAGGAAGTGTCGTCCCCGGTTCCAAATAGTGCATCCAACTACTTGCACAGTGTGGTAAACACTCTCAGTTCATCGGTTTCCCAGTGAGCATATTGATTCTTTACGAGGATCAACACTTCACCTCCCTATCCGTCTTANGTCTTGGTGCCAATCATGTTCCCGTCAGAACGACCGTCACATTCTGGGTATCTGGTTTTCAGTTCGCCCCACTTATCTCCGACAATGCAGACGTTTGTATATCACGTTTTTAAACTTTATCGCAATTCTGTGGCCTCTGTGTGTAGGCCATTTCCTTTATGAGTTCCCTCAAGCATAGCACCCGAGGGCCCGGCACGTTTTTCCATGGATATTTATTCCCACACTGATTTCTTTTCTGCGCGGTTCTTCACAAGGATTCTTTTTTAGCTGAGCTATCCTGTCAATGATTTTCTTCTCATAGTCCAAATCCGCTTCATTCACATCAAGCTGAACGGAGGCATCATTTATTAGCAGCTGCTACCCGCGGCTTTCTTATATCAGTCCCTGGCTTCTTATTTTCGGGGGTTAGCGTAAACCTCGATGTGGAGACAGTGATGTTTTATCTGCCGTTTATCCCCTTTACTGCAGGGTAATGGTACCATTACCAGTCTCGCTCACCATCACGAGGAGACTGCATCTTGACGTGGTGTGATGGCTTGTGCAACTCTGTGACCCAAGGAGCTACACAGGATGGCTTTCGTCAAGCCGAAGATCTAATCATGCCTGGAAGGTGGAGGGGTAGAGGTCGGACGAAGTCCAGTCTCCTGATCCTCCAGGTTGGGGGTTCGACTAGAATTTGCGTTTTAGTCGGTAACTGATCCAAGTAAATGGGCTTCCACTTCGCTCCATCCGCTGCCTCGCGGCTAGGTTCTTGTCAGAACTAATGGCTTTGGTTGAGAACCCTGATTTTTTTCCTGCTTAGGGGCTGGATACCCTAGCAGTGCCTCAGCATCAAACCACATTGCATATGCATTGCGAGTTTGGCAGCGAACAGTGAAGTTTGCTTCTCTGTATTTCGCTGTACGATGACGATGGAGTCTCGCTCATTAGAAAGGATAAAAAGGACTTTGAGGAGAAACTAGCCAGCCGAGCCAAGAAGGAGCCGAAACGCTTCTACAGCTACGTTCAATTCAAGGGCCCTAAAAAAAGGATGATGGGATCTATACAGTTGGAAGGTAGGACCGTCATCGATGAACAGGAAAAGCTAGACGCCTTCTGCACAAACTTCAGTATTGTGTACAGAGCAGATCGCGGTAACTTGGCACCACCGGATCTC